ACAGTTTACAAAAAAAAAAGAAAAAAGAAAAAAAGCCAGGCACCGGCGTACACCTACAATCCTGGCAGGAGGATCACTGTGCATTTGAGACCAGCCTGAACTACATAGTGAGACTGAAACATGAAAACCAAAAAAAAAAAAAAAAAAAAAAACAAACCCACAAAAATCCAAGATAATATAAACAGGAGGTAACATACTTGTGAATAATCTTGCTCTTTTTTTTTTGTATCACACAAGAGCAGATTTAAATAATCTTGCTCTTTTCCTAAATGAGAAACTTTATTTTCATAAATATCCAAAGTTATAAACTGCACGGCAGAACGAGTCTCTCCTGAGGAAGGCAGTGAGAGCAGGCAAAGGGAAGGAGCCCACAGGACCCACCCAGCTTCACGAAGATGTCAACTCTTCAAACTCCACGTGTTAATCCCAGGAAAACACATTTCTCAAATTTTGTCTTTTTCTGCAAAACTCTATAGCCTGGAACAAACACTCAGCCTCAGGAGTCTGTGGGACAGCTGACAGGATTGCTACGGTGTTGTTACTATACAACTGGTCACTTTGGCCACCATCAAATAACTCAATAAATAAGCATTTAAAGCTGTTCTGTTTCAGTTTCCAATGTAATTATTATCAGTACCTACAACCAGGATGAGAGTTGTTTGGGGAACACAAAAGAAGATAAGCACTTTTAAAGTATCACCTTTCACAATGAAACTTTTTTCCTTCAAAAACAGAATACATACTAAGCTATATTACTTGCAAACTATTTCTACTAAGAAGATTCTAGAATTTGGGGGGGGGTTAAGACTGGCTTTGAATTCACTATTAAAAAAGAAAACAAAACAAAAAAACGACTAAGACAATCAACTTACACAGTTTATTTTGGCTCTTGGTTGTGGGTGTCCCAGGCCACCCTTATTTGGTTCCACTGCTTTTGAGCCAGTGGTGCAGTAAACTTCTGTAGTGAATGCATCTCACTGGCAGCTGGGCCAGCTTCTGGCACTGGGGCCAAGCCCCACACCACTATACCTGCTGTGTCCACGCGGTTCCCAGAGGACCCCCCTGGAGGCATTCCTGCTGATGTCTGCTGGGCTTTGGTTCCAGGTCCCAGGCTTCCTGTTTCATCTTGGGCAGGCCATGCCTAGAACTGCATATTTTTTTAAAGGCAAGATTAGGCTAGGTGTGGTGGCATACCCCTATAATCCCAGTACTTGGGAGGCTGAGGCAGGAGGATTGCCATTGATTTAAGGCCACTGTGGGCTACACAGTAAGTTCAGGACGAGCCTGAACTACATAGCAAGATCCCATCTCAAAAAAAAAAAAAAAAAAGCAAAAATAAGAAAAAATAGAAAAAGACAAAATCAGGAGTTTGTAAGACTTTCTTGTGCTTATTTTGGAGATTAAACCCAATTATTTATCGCAAAGTGTCAACACTGCAGTTAAACTTGAACACTGAGGTTTCAATTTAGAAAAAGTGACATGGTGCCTTGGGTGGCACTGACAGAGCTGCTGTGCCTGCTGCATTGGGTATGCCACAGGTTTGCCACCACTGCTCTAGACCTTTCCCTGAGGAAGGCAGGCGTGGAATCCCTCTAGTATCATGCCACTTTGCAACTGTAGTGTGGAGACTGATGCAGGCATCCTGGATTCGTGGATTTGGTACCTGCAAGAGCTAAGCCCTATTTTTGTTTAGTGAAGAGGAAAGACAGCATTGTGGCTTGGCATAACTGACGCCATCTTGAGCCCTGCATTTAACTAGTGCCCTGTATTTGACTCAGCAAAATGAAAATTACTCAGGGTACAAGTCCCATGAGAAAAGCAGAATAAGCTGTATGCACAGGAGAAAAATTAACTTGCTCAACAAAAGCAGCAGCATACAGGTGTCAACTAAAAACTTATGAAAGATTTGATCTACATTGTTTCCAACAGGATGTCTTTTGTGATTCTTTTAAAAACTCTGTACCTTTCCAGGTGGGAGCCACTTGTTTGGACCCTGAACCAGGGGGATCTGTATATGAGTGGTCCTGAGCTCAGTTAAATTCCAAATTTATCTATTTGGCTGCTTGGATTCCTATACTGTTGTTCACTAATCCATCTCAAACAGGATTGGATGTCTAGTTCCATGGTAAAGCACTTGATTAGCATGCATGAGGCTAAGTTTGAGCCTTGCCTCTGCAATAAAGAGAGGAAAAAGGAGGGCAGGGGAAGGGGATAGGAACTGCTATTTTCAGGTGGCCAGAGGACACTGTGGACAGCCAGGCAGAGACTTGGATAAATGAGGGAATACACTGTGAAGATATGAGGAGTTGGGAAACATGTAGGCAGAAACAGCACAGACAATGGCACCAAAATGCAACTAACCTTGACAGATCCAGAAGCAGCCCAGAATGAGGAGTGTCAGGAAGATGAAATAGGTGCAAGGTAACCCCTAGAGCCGGCTGGGAAGGTATAGCTGTCACTCCTGTTGAGGATGACATGCTCTGATTTATAGGAGAAAGGGTCCCCGGCTCTCCTGTGAACAGGCAGGAATGTATGGACCAAAACTGGGGCACTGTTTAGGGGTGAATATGCCCCCTCAATAATGGGAAGCGCATGAGGTTAAAAACCAAAAACCACTACCTCTAGGTGTCCTCCCAGTTTTCTGGTGGCCTTGGGTGACTTAACTTCATTTTTGCTTGTGAGCAGAATACTTTTCCATGTCACACTTGCATATGATTCAGTAACATCATTTACACACATTCATGTCTTTGAATTTGATCATTCTAGGCATCTTGTGTTAATGGAATCAAGCAGTATCTGCCTGTTGAAGCTGGAAACTGACTTAAGGCGTGACCTTGCCAAAAAACAAAGACCCCCAGGTCACCCATGTGAGGTTGCTACAGCCCAGAAAAAACACCAAGCCCTAGACAATCCAAGCAATGGGTTGCTGGGCAGAGGGGCTGAAGTTGACATCATCCTTCCCAGTATATAAATATGCTGCACAGTTTGGGCAGTATCTTCCCTCCCATCAGGGGGACAAGGGCTCCACCTGACCCCAGCTTTTGTCTCTTTATTTTCTCATCCTCTCACAGTTGTTCATCCCAAGAACCTCAGGAGCTGCATGGGTCATGGCATTTGCCCCTTTTGTGAGTGACTTAGTTCATCCATGTAGTAGCTTTTCCCTTTGTGTTTTGGGTTTGTTTCACACACAGCGTTTTGTAGTTTAGTCTAGCCTTGAACTACATAGCTCAGGCTGACCTCATGGACCCTTCTGCTTCAGCTTCTCAAATGCTGGGATGACAGGCACACACCACCATCCTCATTTAGGATTTCCTTTTTAAGGTTGATAATATCACCCACATGGTTATACATTTTGTTCATTTACCTGTTGATAGACAAGTTTCTTAAGCTACTATAAATAATGTGGCTAAGAACATGGGTATACAAAACTCTCTTTGGGACCTTGCTTCCAACTTTTCAGTACTAAGGACTGAACACAGGGCCTTCCTACTGATACAGTCCCAGTCCTTTTTAAACTCTTGAGACGGTATCATTCTGTCACCAAGTTGTCAAGGAGAGGTTCGAAATTGAGATCCTCTTGCTTCAGCCTTCCAGAGTAATGCCATTACAGAGGTGTATCACTATATCTGGCTGTCTGCTCTCAATTCATGCAGATGTACTTACAGAATGGAACTGCATAATCATCTGGAAAGTCTACTTTTTAAAAGTGTCATACTATTTTCCATAGTGGGGTACCATTTTACAGTCTCACCAACAACACACAAGGCTTCCAATTTCTCCACATCCTTGTCAGCATTTATTTTCAGTTTTTTAAAAAGGTAGTCATCTTAATGGTTTAGCTCATAGTAAGGTTAGTCATGATTGAGATAAAAATCAGGATGTGTTTTGAAAAAAAAAAATCATGTCAGAAAAACAAGCATTTATTGAGGAAAACTGGTTACACAAGTAATATAAAGGCTGAAAAGCCAAAGAAAAGTCAATCAATTACCTACTTAGGACAAGGAAGTGTTAGCAGTCCATCTTGGGGTTTCCAGGGAAAATCAAGGTGGTCAGAGGAACTATGCAGACAGCCAAACAGCATCAGTGGCAAAACCTAACACCAAGGCCAATAGCCAGAAAGTATTACCTATGGAAGTCAGGACTGCCCCCCCCCCCCGCCACCATCCTTGGTGAGAAAGGTAGGAATGGGTCCTTGTGAGCCAGAGAAAACTGCTGCAAAACTTACCTGAACTGTACGGTTTTGAGACAGGGTCTATGTAGTTCACACTGGCCTTGAACTTACGGGGATCCTCTTGTGTCAGCCTCCCCAGCATTGGGATTACAGGCATGTGCCCCACAACTAGCCTGGACAGTGTTTTTACATCAGGATCTCAAATCTCAAATTCACAACAGCCATTTATAACACCTAGCAAATTAGGTTGGAGTTTTCAATGGCTTCAGGAAGCACCTACAGCCTTTCATGTATATTTACTGCGCTGAAATTGACAGCTACGCCTACTCAGTCCACCTACATTTGTTGCTCTATTCTTGTAGAAAGCAATAGTACCAGGTCTTTGGTACTATTGCTTTCTACATGCAATGAAAGAGACCAATGAAAATAGCCCTATCCTCCAAAAGCAGCTCACAAACTGCGAAGAAAAGTGAAACACCTGAATGTGCACCTGACGTGAAAGGAATTCACAGCAGCAAGAGAGAAAGGAGACCTGGAAACCCGGAAGGATGCGGTCACAGTAACCTCCCAGAAAGCTGTGACACAAAAAGAGGAACTCGGGAGTGTCAACAGATTAGAACTGACTGGAATGCTGGCGAACGGACATCACTAGGCCTCAAATCGCACGCGTTGGGGGCGTCGCATCAGGGCGCAGGCTCGCAGGGGGCGCACAGCAAGCGTCAGGCGCTGCCTCTGCCAAGAAAGAAACGCAGACCGGCTGGGCCGGGGTTAACCTTCCTTTCTCTGTGGTTTTCCGAAAAAAACTACCTAAGCTCTGAAGTTTTTTTTTTTTTAATTAAAAACACAGCCATAGGTCTTTACCCACATTCTTCCATCTTGCAAAACTATCAGAGCCGCCAAAGTCGTTCAGTCAGGATATCCATCCTTAGTGGGTCCTTTCAGAGCCACAACTATCCCAAACTTTTTTTTTCGTGTTTATCGGTACCAGGGATCGAACTCATGACTGCGTGCTTGCAAGGCAGGCGCTTATGCCGCTGAGCTAAATCCCCAGCCTCTATCCCAAACTTTTAACGTGTCACAAGGTTTATCCAGTGGCTAAAACCTGGAAAAAGACGGCTCAGGATGACCATATACTCCATTCTGTAAGAAAGCAGGGCAAAGGCAGGACGCAGGCCCCACCCCTTCCGCTTCGGACGACCAACCGTCACTCGAGAGCATAAGCACTTCCGCTTGCGGCCGAGAAAGCCTAAATCGCTGCTTGCGTCCAGCGCTCTGCCACCGCCCTATCCAAAATGGCGGACCTCCACCGCCAACTGCAGGACTACCTGGCGCACGGGAAAGCAGGCCGGCCGGTAGACGCGGAGCCGCTGCTGGCGCCGGAGACGGCGGAAGAGCCCGCGGGAAGAAGCGGACCAGCAGGGGCGTGGCTGGGCCACGCAGGCCTGCCGTGGACTTGGGCGCGGAGCCCCGCAGAGCCGGCAGCGACCGGCTCGGCCTGCGTACCGAACGTGACACGCGGGCAGCGGCTGGCAGCTGGCGGCGGATGTCTGCTTCTAGCCGCGCTCTGCTTCGGCCTGGCCGCGCTCTACGCGCCTGTGTTGCTGCTGCGCGCTCGCAAGTTCGCGCTGCTCTGGTCGCTGGGCTCGGCACTGGCGCTGACTGGCGGCGCGCTGCTGAGGGGCGGGGCGGCATACGAACGCCTGCTGCGCTGCGAGGAAACACCGTCGCGGCCCGCGCTCGCCTACCTGGCCGCGCTGGGCGCCACGCTGTACGCGGCGCTGGCCTTGCGCAGCACGGCCCTCACTGTGCTGGGCGCCTGCTCGCAGGGGGCGGCGCTGCTCGCCTGGCTCGTGAGCCTGCTGCCCTGGGGCGGTGCTACCGCCCTGCGCCTCGCCTTTGGCCGCGTGCGCCGCGCCACCGGCCTGGCCGATGCGCTATCAGTGTAAGCCGCGACCTGACGCCCGAAGCCGGCGGCTCACTCCGGCCACCCCTACGGACTGTCAGCGAGCCCGAGCTCGGATGGCTGCCACGGATTGAGACGCCAGCGCTGCGGAGGAGCCGGGAAGCCAGTGCGCAGAACGGACCGGTGTCACCACGTTGGCGACAGCATCTCAGAAACCGGTATTAGAAATCGCGTAAGCATTCACTAACTGTGGGTTTACATTAAGCTTTGTAGAAAGCAGTGGCTGGTCTTTGGATTAGCTGCTTTTGTGACTTAGCTCAGGCTTTTTGTTTTTAAAAATCCAGTGGTAGATGTAGTCAAGCATTGAGGGTTTGGCTATTATTTTCTCTTTAGTGTAAATGTAGAAGTCAAACTAATTTAGCAACTGGATTTTAAAAACGACAGTTTATCTCCATTTTTACCTTTAGAGAAATATGGTGCCTTATGTGAAAAATTAGTTTCGTATTAGACAAAAATAGTAATGGACCGTAAGGGAACTGTCCCGCCTCAGGAAGCGCGGCACCCAGTAAAGTGCACGTGAGCACCTGGGACGCCACAGAGCCGGGGGAGGACTGCGGCCATAGTACCCGCAGTGGACCAGAGGGATGAGTACTTGCAGAGGCTCGTGATAACCTGCTTTTAAGCGCAGTCCGACCCTGGAGTGTATACTTTTCATACATAGTTGCTGTATTTCCTTTGCTTTTGGCTTAGTACTTAACAACCTTAATTTATTGCCAAAAGTCGTGAGTGCAGTATTACGCTGTGGCTAGGAAAACTCTGTCTCAGCAGTAGCTAGTACTAGAAGGCACAGTTACTTCAAATTTAAGGTTCTATGTCAGTGGTTCTCATACTTGAGACAAAATGACTTGAACCACCTCGCAGACCTTTCATTCAGGATCTCCGGGGTGGGACCAGGCTTCCCTACACACTTTAAAGCCCCTCAGAGCCCATGTCGCAGGCAGATCACCTACCTCAGGAGGGGTAAAGGTGTCATTCATAGGCTGCTCCTTCTGGTTCCCTAGTCGAATTTCTGGTGTAATTCTAAATTTCTCCAGAATTTAATAGCTAGATTTTTAAATGTACAATACATTTACATGTGAGGCTATTGTTTTTCAACTCAAAGACACCAAAAATTGAGTTTCTGGAATGTTCTCAATTCATTGTTTTTGTAAAAATAAGTTTTTGTAAAATTCAAAGCACATCATTTTGTATTTTGTTAGTGATGTTTTTAAATGACATAATACAAAATGTTTAGCATGTAGATTTCTATTTTCTGTAAATGAACTTTGAAAATGTGATGATTATCTGCCTTCTGAGGTTTTTAAGTCTAAATGTTAATAAAAATATTTCACATGAAATTAATCTATTATCTCTATAAGGGTTTCTTCTCTAGCTCCCTTTTTAGTTTAGAATTTGACTATATCCTCTTACACTAGTAGAGAACAAGAAAAGGATATCCACAGACTTAAACCAATCTTGATTCTAGTAGGATTTATATGATAATAGATGGCTTTTAAATTTCAAAGGAAAATATAACTTCTTTAATTAGAAACTTCAGGTTCTAAAACTAATGTGGGTGGTTGAGTTTCTCACTCCACAAAAATAACTTAGCTTTTCTCATTTTCTCCAGGAATATCAGTTAAGAAGCTTCTGTGCACTAGCCATTTACATCAGTATCCCTTCTGTAAGCAACCACTGAGACTGCAGCACCACTGAACCTGCCAAATAAACCTGCTCCAGCCAAACTGAAGCTGGTACTGTAATGAAATGCTGGGCCTCAGCACTACCCTTTTAATAATAAAAGATTTCTTATAAAAACAAAATAAGGGTCAGCACAGAATCAGTATCTCAACCAGTTTTTAACTGTCAATCCAAACAACCAAAAATTTCGTTTACTTAAAGAATTTGCCATGAAAAAAATCTGTCTTAAGTTAGAACTCTTATTTCCACAAAGCTAGTGTGAAAGGAGGAGAGATTATTTTTTACAGAATTGATCTGTTTTGATCCATTCCTTTTTAGCCTGGTATGTGAAAAGATTTAGTTACGTGTCATCAACTTCCACTTCTTAACCAAGACTAGTAGGATATGTCCCTGAAGAGCCCTCAGTTGGACAACCAAAAAGATTTGTTCCAGAGTGTAATTTTGCTGACTATCAGAGCCTATGTGAAGTTCTGAGACTGTTTTAAACTCCATTATGATAGCTTTGAAGCATTCCTCACTCTGTAACAAATAGTGTGGCTGAATGGCTTGGGGACTCTAGTTGAAACAGTTTTTGAGTAACATTGGCAGACATGACCTAGCAGTTCCCATTGAGTCTTAGGAGAATCAGCAACATTTACACACACCTTCAGCACATTGGATGCAACAGCAACCAAGGCTTTTCTTAAGGCAAGCACTTCAGGACTAGATGGTTTCTGTTAATTCTTGCGTAAATCACATTCTGTATTCATACAAAAACAACTTACTGTTTTTTTCTGACAAACTGTACATATAGAAACAAGTTTCCAATTGGACATGAACTTAAGGAGGTGCTCCATGTCTCGGGACACTTAAAAAAAAAAAAAGATTCCAGCTTGTATCTTCACAAAACAACATGGGAGTCGGGCAGGGAGGGTAGACAGGACGAAAGGTGGTCAGCTACTCAGGGCAGCCGGCGGCAGTCTCTTCATCTTGAAGATATTCTCAGGAACTTGGAGACACAGCTGCCCCAGAGTTCAGAGCTACAGTGGTACACACTTCCTTGTGTTTGCTTGTAAAGTCCACAAGAAGTTCTTAAATACTGTCCAGAGAGGCTAAAAGTTACTCGGCCCTGCTTCTACCGACCCCGTCCACCACCCCGTGAAGTGCCTCGCCTTGGTGGGCCAGAGTTCATGTTACTCCCTCTACCCCAGTTACTGCCACTCCGGCCCCCTCGAGAGGTGGTGCCACTGCCTGGAGGGCCCCCAAAAGGTTCATCTCTGTGATATCCATCATGGTGGTCTCCATCCAAGGAGCTGGAACGCCCAGATTTTGGCACTCTCTGGGATGGTCCTGGGCCCCCTCGGCCTGAAATAAAACATTTCACAACAGACTTGTATCAGATTGTCAATAATTCTCATTCTAAACTTGCACTCTGGTAAAGTGGATCACTTCTGGGAGAGGCTAAGACCAGCCATGTATTCTGAGCAACCCTGGGTGTGACTGCCCCTGGCTCTCATCTCACTGTCATACTGGCCTGCAGTCCTGAGCACCAACTGGATCACAGTCTCAGGGCTGTGTGACAGACACCAGAAAGCTGAGAGAAGCACTAGGCACTCTTGGGAACAGCCAAGCTGGGTCACCTCCACACTACACAAAGTATCCTTTCATTCTCCTAAGCTATCAGGGGAGTAAAGCACTGACCTGAAAGCAACCTGGACATACAAACCACTGCTGATGTGAAGGCCAAGTACTCAGCTAGGATCAATGTTTACTGTCATTACAGTGTGCCCTTTGACTTCCCTTTACATACTTAAGTGAAACAGTTCTTGAAAAAAACACAAAAACAAAACCTAGCTTTTAGAACTATTTCTCTCAGACATGGCTTGTTTTCACAAATGGACAAATAATGTAGGTGTTATTAAAATTCTACCTTTTAAAATTTTTTCTCAAGAGAAAATTTTTTCTCATGAAATGACAGTATTTTGCTACATCTCCCATCATGTGCTCTCAGGACAATATGCCACCTTTACTTTGTCTTAGATTTTCTGAGTGAAGGTTGGATCTAAGTAAGAGGAGGAAATGAGCCAAACACCTTGGCTTTGTATCTTATAGAGCAGTTTGGGCAAGCCTAAGCAGTGAGATCTCATGAAACTAGCATGTCGGCTCCACGGCCACAAATGTGTGACTAGGCCACAGTAGGTGTCTCATTGCCCATGAAGTCATTCAAGATCACAGCACACTGAAAAGGCCGCTTAGGTGGGAGTCTACTGGAAATTGGTGAGTAGTTCCTTAAAGTTTTACTCTGAGGAGAACCAAAAGGCAGCCATAAGCAAGGGAGATACTGGGAGCAGAATGTGAGTTGAGACACACAGCAGGTGTCTTTCCAGGAGTCCTAAGCCTACCAAAAGCCACTACCCAGCTATCCCAAGACCAGACTTAGAAGTCCGCCTCCAGTGGCTGCCATACCTACTAGCTGGAAGTCAGTGCCACCTTTAATAAAATAAAGATTAACAGTTTCATGTTGTAGACATAATCCACTGTCTTCCCCAGGAAACTACCTGGCAGATCATGTTCTGCAAAGGCTTGTAACTATGGACAAAGCACTGTTCCTTCAGCCCAGAATGAAAAAGCAACACTAGGTGAGGACAATGGTTCTGCTCCACTCAGGACACCCTGAAGGGCTCTGAGTGGCTGTTAGTGGAGGCCACAGCTGTCAATCAGATCAGGAATCTCTGGAGCACAAGCCTGGCAGAGGGTCATAGCCCCTTTGCAAAAAGCTAGAGTGGAAACCCTGAGATTGCTGAAGTGGCTGGAGACTGTGGGGCTAAACTTGCAGTCACTGGGTGCTACTACCGCCTAGCTGGGATACAGACCCAAACAAAATGCATTCATACATGCTTAGGAGCATGTGGCTCTGTACAGCCCACATTCTAGAGAACAGAACATGCAACAGACACTGGCAAGGCTTCTCGAAGCTCCTGCATCTCTGAGCCCAGTGCTCTGCTCATACCTTTGCCTCCTCGCTCTTCTGAAGGGCCCCCAGGCGCCTCCATCTCCCTGTGCTCAGAAGTGCCTGGCCCGTCATGCCAGGGGCGCTTTCGAGGTGGCAGAGATGCCATGTCCATGCCCTGGAGGGAAGAAGAGCGCTCTCTGCTGGCTGGGGAATGACCATCGTGAGGGGGATGATCAGGGCGAGGAGCCTCTCGGAAATGTTCATGACCTGGCCCTGAAACAAGAACCAAGATCCACACAGCTAAGCATCTGATAATGTCAGTTCGGCAAAGTACAATGCAACCAAAAGCAGGTGCAAATCATGCCACTGAGAAGATGGAGCAATCTGAGAATCACCATTCACTCAAGCAGAAAACATCTGCTTGGCCAGGTATATATAAATACATACGTGGAGGCTCAAGGCCAAGATTAGAAATAAACATACCTCCTAGAGTAAGAGGTGGCAGGTTTAGCCTAGAGAATTAGTTCTCAGAAGTCCTTAAAGTCTT